CTGCCTCTCAAGAATGGACGTTCAGTCCTTCTAGTCTTTCTTGTAGGTTAGTGACTGATTGATCCAAAGATCTCACCCAGTCATTTCTTGAAAGAAGGTTAAAAAACTTGGTGGGGAAGGTTGTTCCACACTCCCACAACCCTTTGAGTAACGATGTGCTTTCTGTTTTTGGGTTTAAAAGTACTTCCACTTAGTTTCCACTTGTGCCCCCTGATTGGTGTTCCTCTGCATATACTGAAGACATCCACGGGGCAGACTTTGTCAGGACCTTTGATTATTTCCAACATTTGTAATAGGTCTCCACACAAGAGAAAGATGTTCAGTTCCTTCAGCCTGTCAGTGTAGGACAGTTTCTTAAGCCCCTCAACGTATCTGATTGCTCTTCTCTGAACTGTCTCAAGTGCAGCAGTCTCTTTTCTATAATGTGGTGATCAAAATAGTCTAAATACCAACCCAAAGAGGGCTCCACATCCTAAACATTGTTTTTCTAATCTTCTCTTTTCAGCATAGAATAAACCTTTACTTGTTCCTTTATAGTATAAATATGCCATACTAGTGCATTATAAAGTTTCAACATGAGATCCATCCATCCATTTTCTAACTGATTCTTCCAGTTTAGGAAGGCAGAGGGAGCAAAGCCTATCCCAGGAAGCACCAGGCGCAAGGCAGGGTATACCTTGGATGGGACGCCAGTCCATGAAAAACACACACACACACACACACACACACACACACACACACACACACACACACACCAGGGCCAATTCTCGCAGAAACCAATGAAGCCACCAGTATGTCCTTGGACTGAGCGAGAAAACCATAGCACCCAGACGAAACCCACACAAACTCAGGGAGAACATGCAAACTCCACACAGACTGCCGCGATTGAAACCAGGGTTAAATTCTACACTTTGAACTATACATGCTAATATTTTCCCTTTTGTGTTTGTCCGTCCTGCAACAAGGACTGTGGCAAGCAGTAAAAATGACAAAGATAAAGTGCCTCCTTCCTTTCCTAAAAATATACGGATGAATAAGCCTGCCCCGGTCATCATGGATTCTCCAGTAACCTCCCAGCAACTGCAAACCAGACCCCCCTCTTCCAGTGTGAGACCACGGCTCTTCTCCCTGGCTCACCGGATGACTGCGGTGGTGGCCTGATCTCTCCCCTCTCTCGGTGGGTGTGCTGACGTCTCCTCCCGAGTTCTGGTAGCAATGTCTGTGGACGTTGGCCCACCTTAAAACAATCTGAGGACCACAGACTGGAGTAGAGTCAGTCCTGGGTTCTGTGATGGAGCTCCAGGGAGGCAGAACTGTAACTGTAACTCCCTTTAGGAATCCAGATTATATTGTTTCATTGATAGTTTGTTGGATTACACACATAGGGCAGCACTGTGCCCCGCGTTTAATCCTGAACCTAGGATGCTGTCTGTGTGGAGTGTGTATGATCTCCTTGGTATTACATGGGTTTCATGCAAGTGCTCTGGTTTCCTCCCATATATCCAAAGATGCACTGTTTGCACTTTGTTTTGTTTTTTACACTTGTTTTATAATCGAGAGACTTTCTGTAAGTAAGAATTCCATTGTACCAGTACCGGTTACATATGGCAATAAAGTTCAAGTTCAAGTTCAAGACATGCTGGTGGGTGGTTAATTGGCTTCTGGGAAAACTGGCCCTGGCGTGAGTTGTGGGTTTGTGTCTGTGTGT